ACAATCAACAAATCATTTGTGACCACCACCACCAACACAACACCACTGTCATCTCCGCCGTCAACACCACAGAAACACACCACTACCGCCAACACCAATACCACATAAACCGCCGCCGCCAACACCACCCCCCACAACCACCACAACCTCCAATGAAAATGACCTCACCACCACCACTCCCAACAACCACCACGAACCACCGCACCATGCCAAAACACACAGAACCACTGCAACCCAGTTCTTCGAGTGCTAATAAGCCTAATCCCAACAAGAGAAGCAGATCAGAAAGTCAACTGATAAAACCAAATGGATTACAGCACCAAAATCTTGATTTTCATCAGTCGAATCATTTGTCTAATCCTTCAAAATCCAAGAAGCCCAGATCAGAGAATCATTCAAATTCATCAAACATAAACTTCCAGCAACCTACCTCAATTGCATCCTCCTTGGACGAACCCGATTCAGAAGTTATCGTGCAAATGAAAGAGATGATTTATGGCGCTGCAGCTTTCAGGCCGGTGAATTTTGGTGCCAATCGTCGGCTTAGGTGCCGACGAGGTGGTGCCAATGGTGGTTGTGGCGGTGGAGTGGTGGTGGCGGCGGCGAGGATAGAGAGAGGGGAGAGAAATTGGGTAGGAGAGAGAGAGAATGAAATAATTAGGGTTTTAAATTGTGTAGGATTGATTTAAATAAATATTAATTTGAAATCGATTAATTAAACCCTGATTTATATATTATTAAAGTTGATTCTGCATTTTAGAAAATGATAACTTAAAAACCTTCGTGGGTGTAATTTCCTCAAAAAATAAACTTAGTGAAGTAAATGAATATATAAACTTTATATATTATTAAAGTTGATTTTGAATTTTTGAAAATGGTAACTTAAAAACCTTCGTGGGCGTATTTCCTCAAAAAATAAACTTAATGGACTTAAGATTCTAACTGTACATGAGTACATGACTCGTGCAGTCTCGGTCGGGTTTCCTTCAGGTTCAGGACCATACAAACGACGACGTTTTCTTAATGAAGTAAAAGAAAGGGACCGCTTGAAAACGAAGCAACGGTAATGGCCACACAAATCTCGGCCGAAATAGAATTGGAGTCCTTTTCTATACGAGAATTCTCTCTATATATACGAGATTAAGACAGACTATTTTAATACATTATACTTTCCTTATGTCTTCTACCCTTCAATAT